CCAAAACTCTTTTTAAGGCCTTTGCCTGATAGACTAGCTTGGTGAAAACTCTCGGTAGATTGATGGATAGATGGATGAGGATATCCTACGGAGGCCCTCCCTGAACTTCCTAAATCAAAAATAATCTACAACACTAACTCTAGTGCGTATCGACTAAGTCGAAGGAACTCCACCTCATACTCGAACATAGAACGATCCCTCTTAGTCAAATAAAAAAATTAATCTCTCAAATCATCCCAAGAAATGTTCCCAGGTAGGTTTCTCGGGATCCATCGACATCTCAATTGCCTCCCACCAATCGATAGAATCACCCTTGAATATGGAGGTGACGTACTCTAACATACCCTTCAACATATAGCTGGCGAAGGGTCTTTCCCAGCCACTGATCGAATGCTACGGGGTCATCATATCCTGATCCAAGAAATTATATAGTTTGGTACCTCTAAAGCCTCTCTATTAGGGACTCCTAGTGTGCTACGGCTGAAGGGGATGGCGGAGTTGGCTGGGCAGCTATAGTAGCAAGTGTCTTGGGAATGGATCTATCTATGCGCCTTAGGGTAGTGGTCATCTCCCTAAAGAAAGTTATCTCCTCGATTCCTGCATCTTTGGGCTCCTTAAACTCTATTTTTGGGACAAAATCATCACCCAAATTGCCCAATAAGAAAGCCCTACTCTTGAATCTACCATCCTGACTATGGTGTGTGCTCTCTTCCATAGCTAAAACTTTAAAATTTAAACAATAACAAGAAGTTGTTATCACTATTCCAGACACAGTAGTACTTCTAATATCCCTAGAGACATGTATACTCATAGACATGTTAACCATAAAATTTCTTGTCTTTTCTTAGATAAAACAATTTCTTTGCAAGTACTCATAATAAAATAATCAACTATAGTTAAATAAAATCTTTACATTGGGAGCTCTCAAAATATTTAATTCAAAATATGAAGACCACTTTAAAATGAGTTACGACTTGAATATACAAAAAGGGGTATATAAATATATATGCCCTCAAAAAGATAATCTTGATACATACTCTGTACTGAATCTCGGTCTGGACCTCGGCTGAACAAAAGACTCCTCAACTTCTCATCCTACGAACCTGCATAAAGAAACAAATTCTAAACGTTGAGATCACTAGCCCAATGCCACAGTAACAACTAAGCCATACTAAGAGTGTTCAATAGATGCTCAAGCTAATTGGTAAAATGCAACATTGAGTATACTGCACTCTCTGCTCTATGGTAGACATCATGGTACGGCTGAGGATTTTGTATCTCAGAGCTCACACACCCCTCTAGTCTACCGATGATGAGGCCTGAAATCTCTACATCAGAGACAACACCTTCGACTGACCCACCCCTCACGAGTGTCGGGCCTCAACCCAAGTTAGTCAGTTTAAAGTGCCTCGCGCACTACCTAAGGATGTCCAGACTGATTCTAATTATCGATAGTAGTATCATTTCTAAAGAAACCCGAGGTCTTGATCATTTCACGAGCGTACAACCAAGACTAGTTTTATTTAATCCTAGCAGTTATTGTTGCTATTATTCTGATATAAATTATGGTTATCATTTGGAGTATTATTTGTTATTAATATGAATATATGGGGTACCTCGAATATAATCCTTTAATCCTCGGATTAATTATCCAAAAATGTTCGTGTGTACCTATATTGGCCCCTTAGTGTTGATAATAAACATTTGGTATTGATACTCACCTACTGGTATTGATACCCTTATGTTGGTGTAAGTTATTTGGGTAAAGTAGTATCGATAATCTGGTGCTAGGGTATCGATACTTGCTTGAGTATCAATACCAAATTTAGGTTCGATGTTTTAAAATATACCTTATTATCAATACCCCTATGGATAGTATCGATACTCCTGCCTCGATATCGATACTTTATGAATGAGTATCGAAACGACCTTTTTAAAATTGCCTATTTTTTGCTTGTAAGATAAATAATATCGATATTGTTCTTACTGTATCGATACCATCGCTACAAAGTGCCCTATTTTGGCACGAAAACACCAAATTATCCACCCAAAAAGTCCCATTAAGGTCCCCAATCAGTATTTAAATGTCTTATTTGATATTAGGGATCATAAAGAAGGCTTTAAACATGCTAAAAATCAAAATACATAGAATCTACCATGAATGCTCCATAACTCAACTTTAGGCTATAATACATCTCTAATGACTCACAAGTGATATGAAGAAGTTGTAAATATGTTGCCTTAATTTCTTAGTTGCTAGAAAAGCCCTCAATCACCCAAGTGGCAACTTTTATTTTCCTCTTGCCCTTGAGCTCTCCCCCACTTCTTTCACTGATCAAAGGTAAGAAAATGAATTAATAACTTAACTAGGTGGTTAGATTAAGGTTAATAACACTTTCTATAACTTGAATCCACTAAAAACAAACTAGAATTCATATATTCTCCTAAACCTCTCAAAACCCCATTTTTGGAAACTAAGTGAAAAACTTGAGAAATTGTGCTTGAATTGAAGCCCTTTGAATTGAGAGTACCATGCTTACCTTAACAACACTTAACTAGTCTTTAAATCTTTAAGACTTTCACTTGAAGGATAAGGAAAAGATAAGGAAGATAAGATGAAGATGAGAGTGTTTGGTGAGTGCTTTAGGGGAGTGGTTGCGTGAAATCATATAATAGGGAAAGGGTTTCAGCTTTCAAAATAATAAGGGGTAAATTGCACATTTGGTTACTCTTCATTTTAATTCATAATATTCTTATCACCCCTCTTTAGCTCTTAGGCCTAACTTTAAGCCCACTAACACTAAACTTGGTCCAAACTAATAATAATAGATCATTTGGGATCAAATTATGGGTATCAGGTTAACCCGAACCATTAACCCAGGATTCAGAGCATTACAAGTTATGTGTTTGTAGTAGGTGGTTCTATGATATTTTTTTGACGTTGTCTATTATATCCATCTTTTTTTGAGCAATGGTCGCATTCATGTCCATGGATTCCCAATTGAAGCACACCATTAGAAGGGATTCATATTCCATGACTTGGATGTGTCAATTGATGATGAGTTTCGAGACTAACGATTTTTTCATGTTTATTTTGATAGACATGCAGGCGAAGCGTCCATACCGATCGTTGCCTGTTTGGTAGTCTATTTTGATTACAGAATCAATTCTTTGACCTATCATTTCTATCTTGTTTTTCTTGTAGTATATGATTGGCAGGCCCAGAAGTCGTACCTATGTCATGATTCAGCTAGGGTATATAATTGAGAGGTGTTGAAGTCTGTTGACCAAGGTTTAATCGCAATGTAATGTCCAAATATTGTATAAAAAACTTCGGTTAACACTTTGAAAAAGTTGCTTTTTACTGAGAACTTGACTAAGAAATAGCCGTTTTCGATATTTATTAACTTCAGGGGGTGTGAGGGCTTCCATAGGATCAAAATCCAGTTGTATATGGTATTGTATTTGATTTTATGACCGAGGGTTTTAATTGCTAGGGTTAATTCCATGCTTCTCGAGGCAAGTAGTTGCACTCATTCAGAGAAGTTTATGAACATGATTCTATATGTCATGTCAATGCTAATATCGCATTCCGTTAGATCGATGTCGTCGTCGTCAAAATCTAGTAGCTCTTCGACAGGGAGTTCAATCTGTGAACCAATGAATTTATCCCTGTAGGATGCAAGCCGACTTTGGTCGAGTTGGAGGTTGCAATTCATGATAGATGGGTGGGGAAGGGTAAAATGGAGAGGGTTATCTGACAGGTCTTCATCGCGACGCCACTGCTAGGGATGGGCATAGGACCTGAAATCGACGGGTTCCGACCTGATCGGGTTGATTTTTAAAAAAAAAAATTTAGGGTTTAGGTTGGTTTTTTAAAAGTTATGTTTGGGTCGGTTCGGGTTTCGGGTGAAAAATATCCGACAAAAAAAATTATAATTTTACCTTATATAGTTAGGGAAAATTGTAATAATACCCCTTTATATATATTATTTTCTTTCATTAAGTCCTTATTTCTATTGAATAAAAATAATATTTTTTTAATAAATATATTATCGCGAGTTTGGTCGGGTTTGAATTTTATTTCAAAAAATTGGATCGGGTGAAAGGTGTATAATTTTTGGTTTAGATTCGAGTCGAGTGGAGAATTTATAATTTTTAGGACATGTCGGGTGGACCGAAAATCTGATCCGACTAGACCCATGCCCATCCCTAGCCGTTGCTTCTTGGGGAGGTGTTGTTCTTCGGGGTTTTCTGCGATAACGATGGTTAGGTTTTCTTGTTTGATCCTTAAGTAATTAACTAAAAAAATTAAAAAATATTGGAATGCTATTCTTAATCTTTAATTGAGTCTATATTAATAGTATAGAAGTTTTCTATTAGGAACTAAATTTAATTTACAGCAACTGCCCCCCTCTTTCTTTATTATAATAATCGATTGATTTTTAACTATATGAAAATTTTGATTATAACTTATTTATTATTTTTTCCCTCGGCTTCTCCCTGATTAATTTAAATCGACCCAGGTCGCACAACTGGTTTTGATGGGTGAGTCTCTCAGCGGGGGTTTTCTGCATACAAAAAGACTCGAACCTAATACATTGGTTAAGCGATATCAAACTACTTAACTTTGATAACTTATTTATTATCTTTTAATAGTCTTGGTTGATGGTGAGGTAATATCTATTTAGAAGTTTTTAAGCCATTGGTAATGCATTCACTTTACATATATTACTACTTGAACTTAGGACATCTAGAGAGATCAACAATCTCTTTTATCATTAGAATAATTTGATGAGTTTGATTATAATTTATTTATATATTATACTAAAACAAATAATATATGTCATTTTAATCAATTAATATAAAGTCTAATTCCCATTAAAATAATAAAAGTACTTATCCAAACTCGGGTAGATCTGAAGCATAAACGTATAGATTTAAAATATAATTTTGGATATAAGAATAAAAAAAAATCCGATTATGTTTGAAATGTATAAATGGGAACAACCATCGTCGGCCATTCCATTCCAAATTTTCGTTTGCTTCCTTTGCCCAATTTCCTTCTTCTAACTCTTCCAGTCGACATGGATTCCTCAGTCGCAATTGACAACGACCACCAAAGTCCTCGAAAAGGCGGTTGGGCCGCCGTCATTTTCGTCATCTGTAAACCCATTTTCCTCTCTTCTCGATATTTTCGTCTTCCCTATGCTGCATTTTAATCTGATTTTTGTTCCCTTTTCATGCAGTTGTTGAGATGGCTGAGCGTTTTGCTTTCTATGGTTTGGCCGGAAACCTCATCACTTATCTCACCAACAACCTCGGTGAGCCGGTTGCGACCGCCGCTAAGAACGTCAATACTTGGGTTGGCGTTTCCGCCATCTTCCCTGTACTTGGAGCTATAGTCGCCGATTCATATCTAGGCCGCTTCAAGACCATCCTCGCTTCCTCTTCCATCTACTTCCTGGTAAAAATGCACATTGCTAGTGGTGGATCCATAGCTTTCCTAACATGTTTATCCTGAAATTTGATTATTCTTCTCTTATCTATCTACTTTACCGATGACAATGACTATTTTAAAATTTTATTTATATTCCTTCGTTGTGATTTGTGTTTTTAATATATATTCGTCAACCCTCCAAAATATTTTTGGTTTGTAAAATAATATTTGGCTTGTAATGCAAGATTTGTATATCATTGAAATTTAAAAATCTTTATATTAAATGTTTTTTTTATTATTAGTGTTCACTTTAAAATTTTATTTATTTATTTATTCGTACAAACAATTTTTATTACTTATATATATATAATTCTTAAAAATATTTTTGAATCGGACTCACGTACCATTGTTATTTAAGCCTCAAATATATTTTTTTAGTTAAATTAATTATGTTTCAATGCATGTAGGGAATGGTGTTATTGAGTTTATCAGTCTCAGTGATACCTATGCATTATCGGAAACCACTGTTTTTTACAGCACTTTACATATTAGCCATCGGTGAAGGTGGCCATAAACCCTGCGTTCAGACCTTCGCCGCCGATCAGTTCGACGAAAACAACCCAGAAGAGAAGGCCGCCAAAAGCTCGTTTTTCAACTGGTGGTATCTGGGGATCGTTGCCGGCGCCTCTGTCGCCATTGTTGTCGTCATTTATCTACAGGTAAATTTAAAAAAAAAAACTACTTTTCCATGAAATACGGCTTGAAATTTGTGCCATTAACTGGCGTTACTTTTTTCAGTTTTTTTATGTTAAAGTGAATGGAATTCACGTTGTAGGAAAATGTTAGTTGGGCGGCGGGGTTTGGGGTGTTAGCAGCGTCGTTGGCGGTGGCATTGGCGTTGTTTTTGATAGGGATGAGGAGGTATCGAAAGCAGCGTCCGACGGGAAGTCCCTTCAGCACGGTGGCTCAGGTGTTCGTAGCGGCGGCGAGGAAGTGGGGCTTGACTGAGACGCACGGTGGCAGGGGCATTTGTTATGAGGATGATAGAGGTGACACCATGGGCCACAAGTTGGTCCGTACAAAGCAATTTAGGTAACCGTCGAATCATTGAAAAAAATTAAAATCCAAAAAAATAATTGATTAAAAATGTGTTTTTATTATAAAAAAAATTAAAATTATCATTTTATATTCAAAATAAATAGAAAACTGAAATATTTTTTTATAATATAGTAAGATTACAAATTAATATATATTTATAATTTTCTTAATCTATAGACAACACGCAACTGTGTGAATTTAAGATCTTTAAGAAGAATAATTTTTTTTTATAACTGAAACTATTTAATAAATTAAAAAATATTTAAAAGTGTAATTATTTGACACTAACAATGCAGTTTTTTATAATCATAATTTATTGTCACAAATCATTGATTAATAGTTTAATTAAATAAATAAGATATGTAATAATAATGTATTAAAATTATTTATAAAAACTCCAAAATCAATGTATTAGAGAAAAAATCATATTAAAATTAAATATACATAATAATTAAATAAAAAAACAAAAATAATAAATATGTATCGAATTTAAAATATATGACCATCTAAAAAGAATATGAAAAAATTCAATGTATCAAATTGAAAATAGAATTAATATTGCCAATGTATTAAATTTCAAAGTCTTCCACTTGCATATCACCATCAAAGCGTATAATTAATAAATTGATGAAGTTTTACATCTTATAATAATGATAAGCTAGCTAGCATTACTTTATAATAGAATTGAAATCGTGGCGGCTGGCAATACATAATCATGTATGAGATAAAATAATATGAAATAGAGTGCTTAAGGTCTTCATTAATATTTTTAATTAAAATAGTTTGATAATTTTTTTGACAGTTTGTAAATTTTGATCACAAATAGAATGAGATCATATTCCTTTGCTAAATTAATTCCACGTGGTCTTTTTATACGATTTTTTAAAAATTAAATTAAAAGATTTCTATCTAAGAATATCTCTACCAATTATACTTCCATTAATATATAATCCAAAAACCACTCCTTAATTTCCATGATTTTGTCCATATACACACCCTTGAGAGAACAAAATATTTGTCGACGAGTGTTGACAGGTTAGAATTCAGGAATATGAGTTTATAAGGTCAAGTTCGAATATTACCACTGTCAATCTTGGTGGGCAACTCCTAATTAGGTCTTAGGTATGTCTTGATTCTACACTGGAGGAGTCATCCCTGGCCTAAACTTTTTTATAAAAAAAACAAAATATTCGATTTTTATAATAATTTACATCACGATTAAAAAGTTTAAGAAAATAATTTTAGGTATCAGAATGATAATGATGCATACCATCGAATGCTAAAATATTATTTAATCCATGTTTAAATATTCCAAAATCTCATGTACTATTTCAAAATTTAAAATTTAATTATCATGCTATAATTTTACGATATTGACTTATTATACTATTTTTTATTAAAGTATCTTTACCCCTTCACTAACTTTGGTTCAATTTTAACTTTAGTTGTTAATCCGGTAGCTACACAAAAGGTAAAATAACTCGAGTTCTCTAGTGTTTTTATCAGTTTGATCATTAAATAACTCTAAACATGCATCACTGAATTATTTTGTTCAACTAGCGATAATTTTTATTCATCTTTAAAGATTAAGGGTTAAATTGATAAAATAATAAACCTAATGTACTAAAATATTTCATAGGAATTGTAGGTTTCTAGACAAGGCAATGATCATTGACAATGAAGATGGCATGACCGAACCCAGGAATCCATGGAGGCTTTGTCCATTGAACCAAGTTGAAGAAGTTAAGCTTTTACTTAGACTTGTCCCCATCTGGCTTAGTTGCCTAATGTTTTGCGCCGTGATAGCTCAATTGCACACATTTTTCACCAAGCAAGGCAGCACAATGTCGAGATCTCTCGGCCCCGATTTCCTAGTCCCTCCGGCCGCACTTCAAAGCCTAGTAGGTCTCACCATCCTCATCGCCGTTCCGATCTACGATCGTGTTTTCGTCCCCATGGCCGGAAAATTAACAAAAAACCCCACAGGAATAACCATCCTACAAAGAATCGGTATCGGTTTATTCGTGTCCATACTTAACATGGTTGTTGCAGGCATTGTCGAGACCGCTAGAGTTAACACCGCTAGAAAACATGGCCTTATCGATGCCCCAAAAGCGGTGGTCCCCATGAGTATATGGTGGTTACTTCCACAGTACGTACTCACGGCAATCGGAGATGTGTTCACCATTGTCGGGTTACAAGAATTGTTCTACGATCAAATGCCGGAGGAAATGCGAAGCATCGGAGCGGCGGCCTATATAAGTATAGTGGGAGTTGGGAGCTTTGTCAACACCGGGATCATCTCGGTGGTTCAAATGATCAGTTCAAAGCATGGGAATGAATGGTTGGGAGATAATCTGAACCGTTCAAATCTTAATTACTTCTATTGGGTATTGGCAGCGTTGAGTGGTATTAATTTGTGTGTTTATATGTGGATTTCTAATGGCTTTGTGTACAAAAAGGTAGAAGAATATGATGAAATAAGTGAGGGCAAAGAGCATGGGTATTCGGATGTAAGAGCATGAAATTAACTTTTAAATCCAATAATAGTTTATCTTCTTGATATTTTTAGTTACCCTTCAATTAAAATTGTTGAGGAATCATGCATATCTATCTATGTCATTTTTTATAATATATGGGTAAATGTAAATGCAAAAAGAAAATGAATTTAACTTTTAAATCAGCGACGGGTTTATTACTTTTTGACGGTGGATATTGTTTACTCAGAAATTTGAATATTCTCTAATTAGTTATTTATTATATTGATGATATTCATTCCAAAATTTTATGTGTCAACTTCATTAAAAAATTATATTATTAATATATATATATATATATATATATATATTCTCAAAACTATTTCTAAATTCACTAATATCTCTAAGTCAACATTATAAGTTGGGTTGTCCCGAATCATATTTTTCTTAAATAATTGAAATATTTTATCGAATGTTAATTATAAAAATATATTGATATTAATATATTAAAAATATATACTTTAATATTTATTAATATATAGATAGTAGGTAAAAATATCGTAATAATTTCCAGGGTAAACTATGAATTTAGTCACCAAACTATTATTTTAGCTCTGTTTTGGTAATTCAATTATTTCTTTTAAATTATTACTAACGTTACATTTTGATTTTATTTTGATCATATGTGGTTAAAAAATTAACATTGTTATTGATGTGTTGCCATAAGATAATACCATATCATTAATAAAAAAAAATCTCATTAGTAGTTCTGCACATTCCTCTAAATTTGACAAGGGAAAAGGTATAGCTTCTAGCTCTACTGTTAGATCGGCTTCCACTTCAATGCATAATGATGATGAGATAGAAGAGAATATTGGTGAAGATGAACATATGATGGTAACGATGGAGATGGTTACGAGGATGATAATGATTTGGAATGATGATGAATTGATGTAGATGTTTGTTACTATGCTTTGCTTTTTGTTCAAGTGTCACAACTTGAAACATTAAGACAATGATATTTGTTTTGTTTTTCATTTATTCTATTTGAACAATGTTTTTTATTTTAGTTTGTGTGTTTTTAGTTGATACTGCAATGATATTGAATATTTTGATCTTTAAAAAGTTATAATATTATTTATCATGTTATTTTGAGTACAAAATACAGTTTAAATTTAATCTATATCCTATAGTACAAACGGTGCACCTCGCATACGAAAAGTGCACTCTAACACCTTATGCCTAGGCTCCAGAGATCTTTTACGTCTCGGTGTGTCTTATGCTCTTAAAAACCAAGCTCTCGATAGTATATTAAACATTTAACAAATTATGAATGAAATACTTAATTCGTCCTCTGTGTCTAATAATATTTTCCGCACAATCCTTTTCTTGGTATTTATTATGACTTATGAAAATTTAATCATTTTCTATATTCGAGCGAATCCTGATTATTTAGTATAACTTGACTCGTTATCACTAAGGTCTTATGGTCTCTTACTCAAATTTCATGATCAATTATTCATTTATGGCCTTTATTTTTTACGATCTAAATAGCGGATATTTTGCTAATTTTTCCTATATTTTATTCGGATATTTAATTGAATATCCAAACACAACATGCAATACGTCATAATTGTGAAAATCATGAAATGTTTTAGAATACGAGTTTCACTCACCTTAATCTTCTGAATTCGAGATTACCCACTTTGATTCCGAGCTTTTAACCTTATTGTTGCAACGGTCCTTCGGGTCATATTTCAAAGTAAATATTAAAATAAAAAGAAAATTTTTATTATATTAAATAAAAAGAAAAAATATCCAAAAATTTAAAAGTAAATAAAAAAATCAAAAAGAAAAGATTAAGTAGTTGCATTGAGTGAATTAAAAGTAAAAAGGAAAGAAAATCTAATAAAATATATGGTAAAAAATCAAATTAAATGAAAGTGCTGAATTAAATTTAATGAGAAAATAACTTGTCATAAAAATAATAATAATAAAGAGCAATTAATGAGAATAAAATTTAAAAGAAAAAATTATCTAATTAAAATCCTTTTCCTTATTCATTGGTTCTCTCATTCGATGAAATTTTTCAAACAAAATCAATGTCGAAGCAATAAATACAAAAAATAATATATATATATAAATAAGTAAATCACCGGTTTTCACGGAGAAACTTCAAAGAATGTTAGATTTAGGAAAATCTATTTAGGAGTCTTTTCATTGTTCATCAATTTTCTCTCATCCAAAATAATTTTTTAAGTAAAAAAAGAACGAAGTCGATCAAAACAATAAAGACAACAATAAAAATAAAAAGCATAACAATGAAAAAAAACTCACTTTTATTACTCTTGCTCTACAAATTACAATGGATGATTCTTTTCTCTCGTTCATCCTCCTTTTTTCCCCTTTTCTCCCAAATTACAAAATAAGAGGGCCTATTTTATAGGCTCCCAAAAAACCCTAAAGTAAATAAGGCTAACATCTTCTCATTAATGCTAGATATGCTAATTAAAAGAAAAGTAATTTTAAAATAATAAAAAGATCCTAAATTACCTTAAATAAACTATGGAAAGTAGAAAGCTGGAATTTAATTACAAATATTCAATAAAATAATTGAAAAATCTTAATAAATTAAAATCTCCGTATTAGGCCCGTATCTAATTTTTTGCACGCGTTATCTTTGCTAAAATAAGCATATCTTGAGTTTCTGATGTTTGATTGATGCGTTTCAAAATGCGTTGGGAAGATAATTGAAAGACGATTCATTTTCAAGAGTTACCATGCCTTAAAAATGTTTTTATCTTGTCCAAAAAATTGTTCCACGTTAGTGGTTGTATCAGGCTTCAAAATTAGCTTTAATAAAAATATTTCAGATTCGGAAAAAATAGACCAGACAAAATATTGGGTATTACAACTACTCCTATTTTCTCATTGGTGTGTAAGGAAAATAGAGCAAAGATAAAAAAAAATAACCGATTTTGGTTCGGTTGATATAGCTTTGTTCCATGGTGTTATTGTTTTCCTTTATCCTTTGGTTAATATGCTCGTCCACTTTTCTGTATCTTCAAGATAATTGGGATTTTTGGGGTCTATTCTAAGGGCTTGTCTTCATCTTCTACATCTTCAAGTAGATGGGTTTGAAAATATTCATCTAGTTTGTCTTGGTCCCAGAGTAATTGAATCCTCTGCGGCTTATGTTAGATGAAAATAACTAATCGCTATTAAGCTATGTTGTGGATGACTCCTTCATCGTGAAGTTGAGTCAATCTCGGATGACTCAAGCTTGATATCATTAGTCGTGAAGTTGAAATCCAACTCGAAATATAGGATGAAAAATAGCTCCTCGTTGTTCAGTTATGGTTGACTACTTCGTCGTGAAGTTGAGTCAATCTTGGATAATTTGAGCATGATATCTTTTTTCGTGAAGTTGAAATCATGGATGACTCATTTGTCGTGAAGTTGAGTTGATCTTGGATGACTTGATCATGATATCCTTCGTCATGAAGTTGAAATCATGGATGACTCCTTCATTGTGAAGTTGAGTCAATCTTGGATGACTTGAACATGATATTATTCGACGTGAAGTTGAAATATAGCTCAAAATCTAAACTGGAAAGTAGCTTCTCGTTGTTGAGTTAAGCTAAATCGTAATTGATTTTGAGTATTCTTCTAGTCCAATATCCTTCGTCGTGAAGTTAAAATTTGAATTGAAGACATTGGTTTGAAAATAGCTCCCTGAGTATGATATCATTAATCATGAAATTGAAATCATGGTCGACTCCTTCGTCGTGAAGTTGAGTCAATCTTGGGTTATTTGAGCATTATATCCTTCATCGTGAAGTTGAAATCAAGCTCGAAATCTAAATTGGAAATTAGCTCATCGTTGTTGAGTTAAGCTAAATCGTAATTGATTTCGGGTCTTCTTCTAGTACAATATCATTCGTCGTGAAGTTGAAATTTGACTTGAAGACCTTGGTTTGAAAATAGCTCCTTGAGCACGATATCATTCATCATGAAGTTGAAATACTAGTCGACTGCTTCATCGTGAAGTTGAGTTTATCTTGGGTGATTTGAGTATGATATCCTACGTCGTGAAGTTGAAATCAAGCTCAAAATCTGAACTGGAAAGTATCTCCTAGTTGTTGAGTTAAGCTAAATTGAAATTGATTTTGGATCTTCTTCTAGTTCAATTTCCTTCGTTGTGAAGTTGGAATTTAACTTGAAAACCTTGGTTGAAAAATAGGTCCTCGTTGTTGAGTTGAGCTAGGTTGTAGATGACTCATTCTTCGTGAAGTTGAGTCAATCTTGAGTTTCTTGGGCATGATATTCTTTGTCATGAAGTTGAAATCGTGAGTCAAAGTTTTAGATGACTTTTCTTGAAGTCGGATATCCTCCATCTTGGAGTTGAAATCTGACTTTAGAAGATGTGACTAGAAGATGGCTCATCGCCAATGAGTTAAGCCAAAATGCAGTCAGTTTTGGATGCGTTTCTGGGTCAAGAACCATTCGTGTTGAAGTTGAGACTTGGCCTAAAAACTTTGACTGAAAACTAGCTCCTCACCACTGAGTTAAGCTAGAATACACTCGATTCTGAATTGTTTTTTCTGAACCCAATATCCTCTATCATGGAGTTGAGACTGAATTCGAAAAGATTTGATTGGATGACGGCTCATTGCCACTGAGTTAAGGCAAAATGCAGTCGATTTTAGATGACTTGCCTTCACAGGAAATTCAAATGAGACTACCCTTCATGGTTTAAGTTGATCTTGATTCTTTGGATGGTTCCCCTTCGTGAGTTTAAACCAGGTGAGATGCTCATTGGATGACTCTCATTCACAGGAAAGCCATGTGAGATGTTCTTCGGATGACTCCTCTTCGTGAGAAAATCAAATGAGATGTTTTTTCAGCTGGATATCCTCCGTCGTGGAGTTGAAATCTAGCCTGAAACATTTAACTGGAAACTAGCTCATCGCTGTTGAGTTAAGTTAGATCGTAGTGGCTTCTGAATTGACTCTTGAACCTAACATCCTCCGTTGTAGAGTTTCTAA